TAGGGTGTAGGGTGTAGGGGCTTAGGGGGAGCACTCAGCATCTCCGGAGGTTCATGTAGACCCTGCACTGCCCTAACAAGGGGCGGATCGTAACATGCAGTTCTTGTCAACCAAAAGTTTAGGGTTTAGGGCTTTGGGTTTGGAGTTTAGGGTTTAAGGCTTGGTCTTTGGAGTTTAGGGTTTAGGGTTCTTTTCAAAGTCACAGTGTTAACATGCAAAGCCTAGAGAGAAAGTACTGTTTCAAAGTCATCGTTATAACAAGGAACCCTGAGGATTACAATTTTCACTTTATTCAGGCACCTATCGTTTTGTGCATGTGTATATATATATATATATGTGTGTGTGTGTGTGTGTCTACCTACCGACCTTCGTACCTACCTGTCTATCTATCTACACATGTCTTACATCAAGCTTCATAGCGATTGCATCCTCGCCCAAAGCCCTCCACGGCACAGACCCAGCCTGATTCTGCCGGTCGCGTGCCCGCAAGGCCTGCACCACAAGACGGCGCTCTTCCGGTGTAGTATATTTTTGCGCACCTTTCCAAAAAAAACGATGGGTAGATTTCTACTTGCCCAGACCTTCCGAAATCCCATGATTCCGGAGTAGATTGCTACTTCCCAGACCTCCCAGACCTTCCAAACTCCCATGATTCAGGCATATACCAGGAACTTATGGTAGGAACCCTGACTTATATAGTTGAAGGTAAGTTCCGAAATCCATGGATGACGGGGTCTCTGGGTTCTTCAGCGGAATTTGCAAGTAGAGAAGGCGTGTGACGCGTTCGGGCCAAGGCTTCATCGAACAACTCCGAGTCATCCGAGTGGGGTTTCAGCTCCCTACCTCCCGAGCTTTCGAGTGAAGCTTGGCCTCTGATGGGACGGCTGTTGTGGGCTTCGGGTTTCGAGTTAGGTTTAGGGTTTAGGGTTTAGGGTTTAGGGTTTAGGGTTTAGGGTTTAGGGGTTTAGGTGTTAGGATCCTTTTCCACCCCACGGTATTCACCCCTGCCTTCCAAGAGAAGAGTCTTGCCAGACCCAACGGGGCCAGAGATTAGCCTCAGGGCTTGGGGTTTAGGGTTTAGGGTTCAGGGTTTAGGGTTTAGGGTTTAGGGTTTAGGGTGCTTTTTTTGTGCCTGGGATGCTTGGTGCTGGCCGATTTTCAGCTGGAGTCATTGGATGGAACTGGGGCAAGGGTTTTCGGGTTTGGGCTTAGATGATGGCAAAGACGAGAAAAGGAGTGGACGCGAGAACGACGACAATACCCTTTATTGGATTTGGGGTTGAGGGTTTAGGGTTTGGGTTTAGGGTTTGGGGTTTGGGGTTTAGGGTGGTTTAGNNCCCCCCCCCCCCCCCGCCCCAACAACCGTAAACCCAAAACCCGTAAAATCGAAAGGCCCTGAACCTTAAACCCCAAGCCGCTAGAAGGCCCGAAACGCTAAACCCGAAAACCTTCACACCACGGTGCAAGAGCTCGCCCGGAACCACGCGCAAGTTGAGGCTGCGCACGCCACCGAAGCGGTCGCCATCCGTCCAGCCGATGCTGCAGTCCTGACAGGGTTTCGGGTTTGAGCTTGGGGTTTGGGGTCTAACCTTTCCTCCTACAGTTGATGATTTTAAGTTACCCATAGCAAGGAATATGCTGTAACTCCCATAAATAGTTTAGGGTCCTTAAGGTAGTGCAGGATTAACATCATCAACAGTAGCCCTCATGTAGTTCATCAAATACTCTCGGTCCCTATCTCCGGTGATGAAGCACGGTTTGAAAGGCTCGCTCTGCATGCTGTAACCCCGGTCTCTTTGGGTTAGGGTTTAGGGTGTAGGGTTTAGGGTTTAGGGCAGAGTCCCCTTCAAAACCCCTACAATATAACACAACCTACAAACACAACCTTACAGAACCCATATCACTCTCCGAAGCCCTGTATAACAAACCTACAAACAGGGTTTAGGGTTTAGGGTTTAGAGGTTTAGGGTTTAGGGTTTAGGGCTTCGGGACAACACCCTACAGAACCCACGTAATGACGACAAGCGTTTTGTGAGTGGCAAACACCCCTCACACAGCCGACGTGTCCTCAAGGCAGAAATCATCGCCCCGGCGCTTGGAGAGCTCCAAGCCGGAATCCTCATACGATAAGTACAATATGGGAGATTCCGAAAATGAGGGGTACCTTATTGGGGTCCTTATAATCAGGATCCTACTATTTAGGGTACTATATTAGGGTCCCCTATTTTCGGAAACTCCCATATAGTCTACTATACTGTATCACAGTATAGTATAACATAAAATAATCTGGCATGAATGCATTCGCAGGTGTCGTTTTTGGCCTACGTCGGTTCGAAGGGCGGCTTTGTGGGCAAGAGACGCATTGGGCGTGGTGTCTCTAAGCTTCGTGCCTTGCCTGCACCGCACCCTGAAAGCCCTAAACCCTAAACCCTAAACCCTGAGAGCCCTAAACTCCCAAACAAAGCATAAGATGAGCGAGCATGACGACCACCAAGCCGAAGCCTGATATTGTAACTATGTCGTTTGGCGCCTAAACCCAAAACCCTAAACCCTGAACCCTAAACCCTAAACCCCAAACCCTAAACCCTAAACCCTAAACCCTCAACACTAAAACCCTAAACCCTGAACCCTAAACCCTAAGAAACACTTTGCCCTGGACGTCTCCTGTGTGGCGGCGAGGTCTTGCTGCATCCAGGCTCCTTAGGCTTCATGTCTTCGCCTCCATCTACCCTTTAGGGTTTAGGGGTTTGGGGTTTAGGGGTTTAGGGTTTTAGTATGTTGTAGTGTACTCAGCCTAAGAGCCCTGCGAGTCGTGTAAACGGAGAGAGCGCAATGGCAAAGCTTTGAATCCGAGGACTGGCACAAACCTGCCAAAATTGCTGATTTCTGCCGTGCCTTGACATTGACACCCTAAATCCTACACCCTTTGAGATTCAGTCGAGGCGCTGTCTTGCGATTGACATGCCAACAGGTTCTGCACCCGCCGGACGCCTCGGGGGGTTTCGCTGTCGAGCTGCGGTTGGGGTTGCTGGGCTAAGGCTCGCCAGCCATACGCCACCGATCGCAGAGCCGTTACATAGAATCCTGAAGCCCAAGCCCTAGACTTTCGTATCCAAGAGGCCCACGTAGGTGTCCAGGAGTGTCGCGATCTGATTGGGCACGGACCTCAACAACAACAAGAAAACGTTCAACCTGAGCACTCACATGAGATCCTCCGGCCTATCCTTGTTGCTGAAAGGACACCCGACCCAAGAAGCAAAATCAGCAGCCACCAAGTGGCATCATGGAGTCTTTCAGCAACTTGTTCCAGGACAGCACCTGCAGGCCAACAAGCTGCCAGCTTGTTCTCCCCAGCACGCACAGATCTTGGAAAAAAGGTTGGAACTCCGGAAATATGAGGACATCTCCGAATACAAGCACCTGCTGAAATGGGGGGGGCCTGCATACACACATACGTGAGCATCTGCACACGCTTGTACATCCATAGGTACACATGTATACATGCGTGCAAATAAATGTATGATTGTGTGTCTACATCAATTTCTGTTTATGTATCCATTTACTTACGTATCTGCACATTCATCTTTACCTATTGTATTTAGGATGGCTAGTCAGTCAGTGATGTATCGGTGTTATGCATGGGCGCCTTTGTCTTTTCATCAAGGCGTAGACCCTAAATCCTAAACTCTGTAAGTCCTAAACCCTGAAGCCTACGCCCTAAACCCTAAACCCTAAACCCCTACACCCCTACACCCTACACCCTAAACCC